AATTCTGATGTTATGATTGGTTAGTTTGGCCACTCTGCCAGGCTCAAAAGGAGGCCTCCTAGAGGCAGAAGTCTCTCTGACTGCTGGCTGAGGAGTGCTCCTGAGAGCCACATGCTGCTGAGAAAGAGACACCAAGAGACACAGACTTCTGTGAAAGAGACACTGAGAGACATGTGCTGCTGAGAAAGAGACACACATTGTTGAGAGAGACACCGAGAGATATGCATTGCTGGGAGAGTGGCTGAGAGAGACTGTTGGCTGAGAGACAGCGGGCTGAGAGAGACTGAGCATTTTTCCTGAACTTGAATTGTAGCCTGGTGCTTCCCTAATAAACCCCATAATCTGTGAGTTCTGTTTGACCACTGCAGTGAATTTTTGAACCCAGCAGAAAGGTGGTGAGTGCTGCGGGAGGAATGGTTGATGTCAAGGTTGGTGAAAGGGCTGGAGGGAGGTAGCATGTCTGGCCTGGCAGGAATAGGGCTTGGGCTACCAATGGTGATTATATCTTCCTCTTGTGCAGTGAGAAAATGTCAGAAGATGTAGCCTCCTTGCCTTTTTGGCAGAGATGGATTGACAAAGTGGCTATGGCAATGGACTCAAGTATAGCAGGGATGGTAGAGCTAGCACAGGACCAGGCAGTGTTTTGTTCCACTATGCATAGGGTTGTTGTGAGTGGGAGACAACTCGACAACACCTAACAACAACTACAAACACTATCTCAACTCCTGTGTTGTGGGCCCCTTGTTTCATATGCACTACAAAATACTTAAAATCTTTCGTCATTGTCTAACCATGGAAAAGTTATAATTTTGACTGTTTAATGAGGATGAATTAAGGGATGTTGTTGTTGTTGTTGTTATGTGCCGTCGAGTCGGCCCCGACTCATAGCGACCCCTCCTTGGGTTTTCGAGGCAGTATCACTATGGAAGTAGGATTGCCCAACCTTCCTTCCGAGGAGTGGCTGGTGGGTTTGAACCGCCAGCCTTCTGATTAGCAGTCAAGTGCTTTAGCCACTATGCTACCAGAGCTCCCGAATTAAGGGATATTGAATATATATTTACACATAAAATTATTTAGGGAGCTCTGGTAGCATCATGCCTAAGGCACTTGACTGCTAACCAGAAGGCTGGTAGTTCAAATCCACCAGCACTCCTTGGAAGGAAGCTTGGGCAATCTACTTCGGTAGTGATACTGCCTCAGAAACCCAAGGAGGGGTTGCTATGAGTTGGGTCCAACTCAATGGCACATAACAACAACAAAATTTTTTAACCTTAAAATTAATAATATATTTAACTCATATACCAAATTTGAATTAAATGTCACAACACAAAACCATTTCAAAGAGTAATATATTTTAATGATAAAAGACAGCATTAGCAAATGAGTTTTCCTGTACATATCTTTTGTGATATTAAGCATATATATTGTGAATATATATATATATATGAATAAGAATACAAATTATTTTTTCATGAAAGAGCTGTGCTTTCAAAGGCTTTTAAAAAGGCAAAAAAAAGTAAATTTGCTCTTAGAAAATGACACTGAAGAGTGAATGACATCAAAAGAGACACTGACTAAAGAAGGAAAACAACAAACTTTTAAATCCATCGTAACATTAACTTCACTGGAAATATAACATGCTTCTGAACACAAGACATGGAAAGAGAACTACCTCAAAGACATTGCGGATTTCCTCTCTGGCACTTTAAAGAACCAAAGCCTCTATCATCAAGTCAATTCTGATTAATTGCTTCCTCATAGGACAGAGTAGAACTGCCCAAAGGGCTTCCAAGGCTGTAAATCTTTACAGAAGCAGACTACCCCATCTTTCTTCTGCAGAGCAGCTGGTGGGTTCAAACCACCAACCCTTGGTTAGCAGCCATGTGCTTTAACTACTGCACCACCATAGCACCTTCTTTAAAGAACAAGTTTGGCTAATGGTGCTGAATTATAAAATATCCTACTTGATGAGTCCCCCTAGACTGCACAAAGCTTTTCACTTTTAAAAGGTCAAATAAAAAGATAGAAGTCAGTTTCCAAAACAGCTAATATTAGTCCATAACAGAAGTTTATTTCAAGTCATTTTAATATATTGATACTAGAAAGCTCCAGTTAAAACAGATTTAAAAAAAAAAAAAATAGCCATATGACTACGGTTAATTTTCTAAAACAAACAAAAAACTTTTTTTCTCCAGAATAACAATGGGACAGCTACCCAAAATTCATGTTTTTGTATGAAAATCAGTTTTACCACTTCCTGTAATCCCAGCCCAGAAACCAGCCTGTGAATGTGGGTGGCTCATAGCCCTGTTTTATGATGACAATTGGTGTTCTCTTGTCTCTTCCAGAAGGGTCTGTTTCAAGGTACATTTTTGCTAAAAAAAGTTGCAAAGACAGATAAATTAAACTTTGATTAAACTAAAATAATTATATAATATGAATTCTTCCAATAAAAGTAATAAATCTTTGTGCTCCCAAGTAACCAGGTACTTTACTATTCTACACAAAAAATTTCTTACTGACTTCTCTTAGCTGCATGGAAAGTATTATGGGAATCTTTCATTATTGCCTGGAAGAATTCCAAGATGTAAGGAATTATATTTATGGCATAATTATCCTTATCTATTTTAATACAAAAAATTGTGCCAGAACGAACAGCATTTCTCAAAAAGAAATGGAAAAATCTAGGTTATTATAGTTATAGAGGTTTCACTATTTCCATAATAAAACAAGGTTTAAATAGATTTAACTTTTTCAGAGTAAATGGATAGAATTATATAAACCAGAAGGCTGGCGGTTCAAACCCACCAGCCACTCCTCGGAAGGAAGGTTGGGCAATCCTACTTCCGTAGTGATACTGCCTCGGAAAC